AAGCGCGTTCGAAACGTTTGCCAACCGACCACGAAGCGTATGCGCAACGTCTTTGACAAGTAGATGGCTTGTCTCTGAAACGCATCCAAAACGGATACGAAGCGTACATGGGAGAGAGCGCGCCCACAGTGCCGACGCAAAGGTGTGAGGGGTTTCCCCTTAGCTACCCCCCCCCTCCCTTCCACCTCCCCTGCTGCAAGCCCCCCCCATCCCCCCCTTTTTCGCCTCCCCCCTGAAGCTACACCCCCCTCCCCCCCTTGCGCCACTCCGAAGCTACGTCCCCCCCTCCTCCCCTTTCCAAAGGGAGGGGGGAGCTTAGCTACCCCCCCCCCTTTCCAAAGGGAGGGGGGAGCTTAGCTACCCCCCCCTCCCCTTGACCCCCTCTGCCGGAAGCTATCCCCCCCCCCCTTGGTGGTTCCAAAGGGGGGGGGAGCTTAGAGCCCCCCCTTTCGCGCACTGGGAAGCTTACCCCCCTTCCCCCTTACGCAAAGGGAGGAAGGGCTCAGCTTACCACCACCCTCCCCGGGACCCCTCGGCCGGAAGCTTCCCCCCCCTGTTTTGGTCCCATAGGGGGGGTAGACTTTTATTTAGCAAGGCCCCCCCCCCCCCCCCCCCCCCATCCCCCTTTCGGCACCCGGGAAATTACCCCCGCCCTTCCCCCCTACGCTGTGTGTGGGGTTTGTTAGCGTTCCCCCCCTTCCCTTGACCCCCCTCTGCCGGAAGCTACCCCCCCCCCCTCCCCCCCTTTACTTTCAAATGGGGGGGGGCGTAGCAGTCCCCTCCCCCCTTTCGGCACCCAGGCTACCCCCCCTCCCCTCCTTACGAAAAGGAAAGAGGGGAGCTTAGATACCCCCCCACATTCCCCTTAACCCTCCTCTGCCGGAAGCTCCCCCCCTCCCCCAGTTTTACTTCCAAAGGGAATGGCGGACTTAGCAGCCCCCCCTCCTCCCTTTCGGCACCCGGGAAGCCCCCCCTCCCCCCTCCCCCACCTTACGAAATGGGAAGGCGGAGCATAGCAACATCCCTCCCTCCCTTGACCTTCCTCTGGCGGAAGCCCCTCCCTCCTCAATCCCTTTCGGCACCCGGGAAGCCCCCCCTCCCCCCTCCCCCACCTTACGAAATGGGAAGGCGGAGCATAGCAACATCCCTCCCTCCCTTGACCTTCCTCTGGCGGAAGCCCCTCCCTCCTCAATGTTGTTCCTTTTCCCCTGCAGGAAACTACTCCCCCCCCTTTCCAAAAGGATGAAAGGCGGCTTAGCTACCACCCCCCTCCCTTGAACTCCCCCTATCGGACGATCCTCCCCCGTCGCCGTCATCGTTGCCGTCGCCGTCGCTCGACGTCTTCGTACGACACCATCGTCGTCCTCGTCGTCGTTGTCGCCGCCGTCGCCGTCATTGTCGCCCATTTCGTATGACCTCGTCGTGGTCGTCACGACGAGGACAAGGTCATGCGAAGACGACGACGGACGACAGACGACGCGCGACCGACGACCGACGACGACGACGACCCAGGGTCAGAGAAAACGAGACCACGACCCAGGGGCTGAGAAAACGAGAAAACACACAGCAGGGTCCGAGAAAACGACCCACGACCCAGGGGCCGAGAAAAAAGAAAACTAACCACGGTACAAACGAACCAAGGTCCGAGAAAACGAGACCTCGACCCAGGAGCCGAGAAAACAAAAAAAAACGAAGCAGGGTCAGAAAAAAAAACGAGACCACGACCCAGGGGCCGAAAAAACGAGACAACGAGAAAACGAACCAGGGCCCGAAAACACGAGAACACGACCCATGGGCAGAGAAAACGAGACAACCAACCAGGGCACGAGAAAACGGAACAAAAACCCAGAAGCCGAGAACATGAGACCATGAACCAGGGTCAGAGAAAACGAGATAACGACCCAGGGGCCGAGAAAACGAGAAAACGAGAAAACAAACCAAAGCCCGAGAAAACGAGACCACGACCCAGAGAAAACGAGACCACGACCCAGGGACCGAGAAAACGAGAAAACGATAAAAGGAATCAGGGTTCGAGAACACGAAGCTACAAACCAGGGGCTGAGAAAACGAGGAAGCGAGAAAACAAACCAGCGTCCGAGATATCGAAACCACAGCCCAGGGGCCGAGAAAACAAGAAAACGATACAACTAACCAGGGTCCGAGAAAGCTGGACCACGACGCGAGCCGAGAAAACAAGAAACGACAACACGAACCACGGTCAGAGAAAGCGAGACGACGACCCAGGGGCAGATGAAACGAGAAAACAAGAAAACGAACCAGGGTCAGAGAAAACCGAACCACGACCCAGGGGCAGAGAAAACGAGGAAACGAACCATGGCCCGAGAAAACCAAACCACGATCCAGGGGCAGAGAAAACGAGATGAGATCACGAACCAGGGCCCGAGAAAACGAGACCACGAACCAGAGAAACGAACCCAGGAGCCAAGACAAAAAGAAAACGATAAAACCAAACGGGGTCCGAGAAAACGATACCACAACCAAAGGACAGGGAAAACGCAAAAACGAGAAAACAAACCAGTGCCCGAGACAACGAAACCACGACCCAGGGGCCAAGAAACCGAGAAAACGAGAAAACGAACCAGGGTGCAAGAAAACAAAGCCACGACCCAGGACACGATAAAACAAGAAAACAAGACAACGAAGCAGTGTCAGAGAAAACGAGACCACGACCCAGGGGCAGAGAACACGAGAAAACAAGACAACGAACCAGGGGCCGAGAACACGAAACAAAAACCCAGGGGCAAAGAAAACGAGAGAACGAACCGGGGCCCGAGAAACCGAGACCACGACCCGACCCAGGGGCCGAGACAACGATAAAACGAAAAAAACAACCAGCGCCCGAGAATACGAGACCACGACCCAGGGGCCGAGAAAACGAGAAAACGAGATAACGAACCAGGGCCAGAGAAAACAAAGCCGCAATCCATGGGCCGACATACGGAGAACACGAGATCAAGGGTCCGAGAAAACAGAAATCGAACCAGGGTCAGAGAAAACGAGACCACGACCCAGGGGCCGAGAATACGAGAAAACCAGACAACTAACAAGGGATCGAGGAAAAATGGCACCACGACCCAGGGGCCGACAAAACAAGAAAACGAGATCACGAACCAGGGCCAGAAAAAAAAAAAAAAAAAAAAAAAAAAAAAAAAAAAAAAAAAAAAAAAAAAAAAAAAAAAAAAAAAAAAAAAAAAAAAAAAAAAAAAAATCCGAGAAAACGAAACATCGAAAAACGAACCGGGGCCCGAGAAACCGAGACCACGACCCGACCCAGGGGCCGAGAAAACGAAAAAACGAGAAAACCAACCAGCGCCCGAGAAAACGATACCACAACCCAAGGGCACAGAAAACGCGAAAACCAACCAGGGTCCGAGAAAACACGACCACGACCCAGGGGCCGAGAAAACGGGAAAACGATAAAAGGAATCAGTGCCCGAAAAAGCGAGACTACGAACCAGGGGCCGAGAAAACAAGAAAGCGAAACAACGAACCAGGGTCAGAGAAAACAAGACCACGACCCAGGGGCCGAGAAAACGAAGAAACGAGTAAACGAACCAGGCCCTGAGAAAATGAGACCACGACCCAAGGGCCGAGGAGATGAAAAACGCGAAAACGACCCACGATCCAGGGGCAAAGAAAACGCGAAAACGGGAAAACGAAGCAGGGTCCGAGGAAACCACGACCCAAGGGCCGAGATCACCAGACAACGCTTGGATCGAGAAAGCGAGACAACACGACCCAAGAGCCGAGAAAACGAGAGAACGAGAAAACGAAGCAAGGTCAGAGAAACGAGACCACCACCCGGGGGCCGAGACAACGATAAAACGACAATACGAACCAGCGTCCGAGAAAAACAAAACCACGATCCAGAGGCCACAAAAACGAGAAAACGAGAACACGAACCAAGGTCCGAGAAAGCACAACCACGACCCAGGCGCCGAGAAAACGAGAAACCGAAAACACGAACCAAGGTCAGAGAAAGCGGGACCGCGACCCAGGAGCCGGAAACACGAGAAAACAGGAGAACAAACCAGGGACCGAGAAAACGAGAAAACGATCGAATGAATAAGGACCCGAGAAAACGAGACTACGAACCGGGGGCCGAGAAAACAAGAAAACAAGAAAACGAACCAGGGGTCGACGTTATTGTCCAATGCGTTCTCTAGCGCTGCGGTGCGCACCTGTCGCCAAGGATTCTGCCATTTTGCCAGAGCCCCAGAAGGGAGGGAAAGGGGGGCGTAGCTTCGGAAGCCCCCCCCCACCCTTTGCAAAGGAGGGGGGAGGGGAATAGCTTGAAGCCGCCCCCCCTGTGCCCAGACCAAAAAAGAAGGAGGGGGGTACCTTCCGAAGCACCCCCCCCCCTTGAAAAGGGATGCCCGGGCTCACCTTCTGCTCCGGAAAAAAGGGGGAGGGAATGGAGAGGGGTAGCTTCGAAGCCCCCTCCTGCAGGTTCACCGATAGGTGTCCCTGAATAAGTGTTGATGCAATGTCGTCAACTCTTTCTAGGTCCGTGGATCTCAAGCTCTCTTTTACCTCAGCACGCGCGAAGCCAAATATGTATATCTCTCCTCGCCGCAAGCGTTGGTCTGCACGCAGTCCGGGTATTCTCCAGATAGCCAGCCCTCGAATCTATCCCAGGGAAATCTCTTTGTCTGAATATTCTGATATGCAATCTCGATAATCTGGCTGGCTCTCTCTGGAACCAGCAAGTAATTGTCTGACCGCCCAAAAGGCGGCTCAAGGGGTCCCTAAGCCACCATGATTACGGATAACTGCAAATAACACTCGTCTCGCACTTACGGAAACGAAACGGACACGATTGAGTTCGCATCCCCAGAAATCTTTGTTGCAGCTACTCCATGGAAACTGCTTGGAGCCTCGAAACGTCCGCACCCGCTCTGGCGCGTCTCAGAAATAAAACACGCAGTAGAACAGGCCATAAGACAGGCAACAGGACAGGCAACTGCAGCATAGCGGCGTCAGCCATAGGATGTAGGTTCACTCACTATCATGTTATCGTCATCATTGCCATCACCATCTGCTGCATCTGGTAACGACACTCCCACTTTCATGAATGCCATCTTGATGAGGCCAGGGATATCCTTGTTGTTTTCGAACCTGCTCATCCCGCGCTCCTTACGCTTCCTGGCACTGAGCTGCTCGTCGTCGCCTACCCGCGCCCAGCTCCGCGTCTTCACGTACAGGTCGATGGGCCCTGTAGCTGTCGTCTTTGTCAAGCTGTCGGCCAGGTTGGCCTCGGAGTGGCACCGCCGCACAATCAACTCTGTCTCGTTGATGCACTTCTCGAAGGCCATCAGCTCGAGCGCCGTCCGCTTCTCGGCCAGGCTCTGCATCTGCACCTGCTTGGCCAGACAGTCGTAGATGCTCTCAGCGCCCACGCGCAGGCACGACCGCACCTGCTTCACGCCCTCCAGCATCGGCTTTGCCGTCTTGCTCTCGCTCGCGGTTCCCACGGCCACGACCGAAACAAAACCGTTCAGCTCGGCCCACATCATTCTTACCTTGAAAAGCTCGTCCTCTGTCACTGTCAGTGCCTGAGCCTCGGCCGCCAACGAACTCCTGGCCACGCGCTGTAGCTTACCACTGCGATGCGAAACCCAGCCAACTGGGGCCCGCTTGCCGTTCAGGATGTCCGCTGGCGCAATCCCGATCACAGATCCTCCTGTCGAGGGCCCGTCTGGTCAATTCGCCCAGGCTGCATCACTCCAGCCTACGACCACTCCTGCTCCCTCGAAACTCTCGAACTTCAGCTGGTAGCCGTGAAGGCTCTTCATCTGTCTGATCAGCTTGTTGATCCCGAAGAGCGTCTCCACTGTCGCCGTCGGTCCACTGCTCTGATATATTGAGCACTGCGCCTGATATTTCGGCATCGTCTGCGTCGCCACCCACTGGATCTCGCCCAGTGCCCCCCGAAGCATCATCATCTCCTTATCCGTCAGCTTCTGGTCCCGTTGTTTGCGACGCCCCTGTCCGATGTTGATCTCGGTGATGTTGTCGATGAACTCCTTCTGGTGCATGGTGATCTCGCTGCTGGCCGTCTGCATGACCGACAGCCCGGTCTGCTTGAAGCGTCCTTCCTCCCATGGAGTCCAGCGGAACGCCTTCTGCAACTTCACCTCGATCTCTCGCCATCGAACTCCACCATCTCCGGCGATCAAGAAGTCGCCCACGTGTGTGCCAACTACCCCGAACACGTTGTTGTTCTCGTCGCTGAAAACCCAGACGCACGGGTCAGACACGCATCGTTGGCCACCGAGCTGCTCCATCAGGGTGTCCACGCTTTCGTACCACGACTTTGGTGCTTGACATAGTCCGTACACTGCCTTCTTTAGTCTCACCGCTGTCCCTCCAGGTACTCCGAACTCCTCCGCCAGCTCACCGTTGGCCTCGATGTAGGTCGGCTTGTCGTCTGGCATCCCTTTCCTTGCAGGAAAGCAGCCTTGACGTCCCCCTTCTTCAGCTTCCACTTCTTCATGGCCGTCAGCTGGAAGATCATGTTCCGAGCTCTCCTGGTCATGGTCGGCGATGCCACTGGCTCTTCTCCTAGCCGAGGATCTTGATATCCCAGCACTACCAGTCTCGCCTTTGCTCGGCTGCCTCCTGTCGCTTCGTCCTTCTTCCAGGTGAGTACCCAGCGCGTCTTCAGGACGTCCGACGACGTCGGCTTGATGCGCGGCGGTAACCTCTCCAGCACGTCGTTGGCGATCCAGTCTCTCACCTCGACCAGCTTCGCCCCCTTCATCAGACTCTTCTGCTCGTCGGTCATGTGCATGACACTTGCCTCAGACCTTCCTTTCTTCATCGCCTTGGTGATGTACTGCTCCGGCTGCCTCGTGAACTTGTTCATACTGTTCGCGTCGAACGCCTCGAGCGCTACCTCGATGTAGTCGATCCCCGTCGGGATCTCCAGGTCCCCCTGGATCTCCGTAGCAGCCCATGCCGCCACGTCGAAGTTCTCCCAGTCGAGCTTGTCCCAGTCCATCTGGTCACCGTCCGCGATCTTGTCATTGAAGAAGGCACTGTAGCTCCTCAGTGCTGGTCCGAAGTTGGTCCGCATCCTGACCCCCCTCTTCGTCTTCTCGAACACGTCGGTCTTGACATTTCTCTTCTCGACGATCCGTCTTTTGAGATCTGCTCCTCCTGCAATTGTCTGTTTCGTGTTCTTTACCTGCTCGCTCTCGATGTCATCCATTGACGGCTGGTCTTTCCCATTGTCCCCATGGGTTTCCGGTACCTGCTCCACGACCATCTTCTTCGCCTTCTCATGGATCACCTCCTTGGCGTTCTGGTATACCTTCATCTCCTCTGGCTTGTCCGTGATGGGAAACAAGTAGGTCCTGCCAGTCCAGCGTCGTCCCATTGACCTCGTAGACTTCCCATACACGTTCCAGTTGTCGTCCTTGACCGTCTCCTCGGATCCGTCCTCATACCTGATCACGGTGATCCTTTCCATGGTCGTCTTTTCCGGTTTGGATCTGAAGCCTCTTGGCGTAAACAACGCCACTCTCGGTCGTAAATGTACTCTGATGTGTGCAGGTCGTCCTTCGAACTCACCTTCTTCCCAGTGGTTCCCCTTGTCTCCGTCTTCTGGTGCACGAGCTGTGGCCTCCGGTGTATAGGTCTCCTCATTCATCGGCGCGTCCTCTTTGTCCACGGAAATCACCTCCCCCTTGTTGAGACTCTCCAGTCCTTCCACGAATGTCCAGGGTGCGTGCTTTTCCTCGAAGAACATCTCTTCTTCTCTTGGACTTGCCGCTCGTAGTTGTTCGGGTGCACACCTCCACAGCCTCGACCCCATCACGACCCATACCTTTCTGGATTGAACGAGCGTCCCGTCGCTTGTCTTGGTCGTCTGCACCCCGAGGATGGTACCTGGTCCAAACCATCTGCCCTTGTCAATCCGATGATGTCGTGGTCCTGCTGGTGCTGGTCGTTTAGCCTGCTTGCCACATCTCAATGCACATACAGGCATCCCAGGATACAGGCGTTGTGGTCGTTGATCTCGTGCTGCTGCTGCTGCTCTCGTCTGCTGCTGCTTGAGAATCCGCTCGCCAATGATCTTTGATGCCAGCACCAGCTTGGACAGGTTCTCCATGTAGCTCTGGTTCGTGCACTTCACGACGTCCAGGCGATCCTCCTTCTTGAGAGTCCCTGACCAAGTCTTGTCTCGCCCGCAGGCCCATTGGCTCGGACTGTATCCATCGACTCTCTCGACCGTGTTGTGTGCCTCCACCGCCGCATGTACAGCTGCCTCCAGGTCGGTCTCATGATCACGATGCATGGCCTTGGCGCACTCGAAGACCGTCTTGATTGCACGCTCCGCTATGCCATTCTGCCAGTGAGCCTGGATGGCACACGGATCCACCTGCACTCCTTCACCTGCAATGCTGTCATAGAACTCGTGTGACACGAATGCTCCTTCCGGATCGAGCCTCAGTACGCTTGGCATGCCATGCCGATCTGACCAATGTCCTCTGAACGCATCCAGCAGCTCCTTGGCGGTGCAGTTCCTCGACTCCTGAGCGGGTATTGAGAAGATCTTGACCGCCAACGTCAGCTTACTCGCCTCGCCCACGATCACAAGGTACTTCCGCTTGATCTGGTCGTTGCCGACGATCTCCTTCACGCCGATGCCGACCACCTGCCATAGATCTCGAGCTGGCTCGAGTACCGCTGCTGGTCTCGGTCTTGGTATCTGATTCTCAATGCACGAGCTGCACTTGATCTGCTTCACGGCTGCGATTGTCGTCGCTGAAGCCCCACGTCTTCGCAGGATCCTGATCATCACCCTCTGTGGTCGATGTCCAGTATTCCGATGCAGCCGCATCGCTGCTTTCATTAACTCATTCTGCTTCAGCGACGGCAGGTCGTTCCATTGTTGTTGCTCGTCGCTTGTCAGCTCTAGCTCCCTCTCATGGTCGAACATATCCTTGTTGTCGTTCGCCAGGGCTTCCTCCTGTCTCAGCTCCTCGATCATGCCCATCAGCTTCGGCGGTTCCACGATATTCCGCCAGGTGGTCCTTGCCATTCGTGCGGGGTATTTGCCCGATAGTGTAGCATCCTCCCCACAGCATTCTGCATGTCCGTGCCCTTGGGGATCTGGGCAGCGTTTGCCACTCAGGGCCGTTGCGAGCTTCTTCCTGCTGGTCCACAGCGTCCACGGTTTGTATATCGGCTCGCCCTTGGTGTTGACCACCCCGACCTGGCACCCGTCGAAGTTCACCTTCTCCATGCCCAGCTCACCAAAGAACTCTATCAGCTCCGGGAAGTACTTCCAGCCATGGCAGTTACGTGGCCACTCGAAGTGCACGTCCCCGCCATTGTCCTTGACAATCCTGCTCACTTCCATGAAGTGATTCACAATCTTCTTAAGGTTCTTCTTTCGTGCTTCGAGCTTCTTCCAGTACTGGCCATCCTGTCTGCCGATGTAACCGTTGTGAAGCGCGCTGACGGCTGTGCACGGTAGGCTTCCCCAGATGTCTGCTCCAGGGTTTTTCACCGCCAGGTTCTTGGCCAACTCCAGTCCATGCTTCGTGCTGAGATCCGCGTCCTTCCGCGTGATCCTGATGATCTCGGCGTCCTCGCGTTCCTCCGCGACCTTCCCGAGCTGGCTGTCCTCCTCCGTGCAGAACTCGATCAGCTGTTTCACGTAGAGGTCTGTCGCCATCCCAGCTTCTGTCACCTGCTCTAGCACCCAGCTGTAGTCCTTCAGGTTAATCTCCTCCTTGTGGTACTCGACGTCAATCCCGAACGCGATGACGTCGTCGTCCCCTGAGGGGACGTCTAGGTCGGTTCTCAAGGACCCACGGGCTCCCCAGCCTGGGGAGACTCCTTCTTCTTCCTGCGAGTCGGTGGGTCCGTCCTCCGCTTGGTGCTGTCGCGCATCTGGTCGAACATCATGTCGGCCTTGCTCATCTGATCGGTGCTCGGGCACGGCGTCTCCTCCTCCTCTGATCTCCGGCCTTCTCGAATGAGTCCTCCGAAGACACCTCTTCGATCTTGGTCCGGCTCTCTCTCTCTCTCTCTCTCTCTCTCTCTCTCTCTCTCTCTCTCTCTCTCTCTCTCTCTCTCTCGACGTCGCCTTCTCCTTGGTGACCTTCTCCTTCGTCACTTCTTCGATCTTGATCTTTCCCACGGTCGGTCCCAGAGCTCCCTTCTGCCTGTACCTGCCCGTCGCCCCGTGCTTCGGGATGTACAGCATGACCAGCTCGCATCTCACGCACTTGTAGCTCACCTTGTATCCGTTGGCGTGCCTCGCCAGCGGGTGTGTCGTGTCGTGCTCGCCGTAGCAGGGCTTGCCCGTGTAGCGATCGTCTTTCTCGTTGGCAGCCTCCGCTCTGTCCCAGTCCAGTCGTAGGTCCCGACGATCCAGTGTCATCCATTCGCCGATGGTCCGCTTGCCCCATCGCTCTGGATCGGTCTGTCGTCGCTGTCGGTCTCCACTGCCCCTCCGATGTCCTGAACCACCGTCGAGGCCTTGGTCCTTCTTGATGTTGCGGTGCTTGTTGCTGTCGATCGGGACGTCGGCTGCGGGCGTCGAAGCCGCCGCTGCCGCCCCGGGCATCGCCCCTGATGGCCTTGACCCGTTTGGCGTTGATCCACTGAAACCTGGATCTTGAGCCACCACGTTGCGGATCGCAATCAGCATCACCGCCACCATCATTCATGATTATCTGAGGTACTTTGCATTTCTCGTGTAGGACATCAGTTACTTTCATCTCTGGGGGCTTTGGAGTCTTCTCGAACCCATTCGAGACACTCTCAGGCCTCTGAGATCCCCTGAAAGAAGTCTCACACGTATCGGTAGTCACGTACTTCGATCGTGTCGGTGTGGTCTGGATCGCCGAAAATCTCCGAAATCGGGTCGAAGTACTCGCAGTCCTTGATCGAGCTGTCGTTCGTGTCGGACTCGCACATGTACTCGAAACCCGTTCCCGCTCGGAACTCGTCGGTCTTATTTCCAAACCCGTGCCCACGAAATCCTCAGTGGTTTCTGTAATGAAATTCACATCCTCGGAAGTCTCAAACGGTGCCCTCTTGCTCTCGGTCCCCTCCTCTGCTCTCACTGTCCTGGTAGGTCCTCCAATCCAGTGACGTGATGCTGGCTTTGTTTTCCTGAAACCAGCACCGCAGAAGGAGGGGCGCTGTCCCTATTCAGGGTTCGCGGCTGGATCGGCCGCCGCGACCCTCGCAGTGCCGAGAGCCTGCTGTAAATCCTCGAGCTTCTGCTTGAAGTCCCCCCTGTCAGTGTAGTTCACCTTCGCGTCGTAGAGGTCCTTCGTCATGTCGATGCACAGATGTCCCGTCGAGATCCGCTTGAGCTTCGCCACCTTGTTCTTCGTGATATTGATGAAGCAGGCGATCCCCGTCTCGAAGTCGATGATCGCTCCAGCACGCTTCAGGAAATCCACTGACCCCAGCAACGGCACGTAGCGGCCCCCTTGGTGTTCAGCGCGTAGCCCGACACGCTACCTAGATTGCCGTTCGCCTGCAGCGGGAGGTTCGTCCGGCACGAACACTGCTCCGCGTCGCCGTTAGCGAACCCGAACTTCGGTCGATCTGTCACATCGACCTTCACGTTGCTCGCGTCGATTCCTGCCTGCTGCTGCTTCTCGATGATCTTCTCGAGCGCCACGATCGACCCGAACGTCTTCGTCGCTCCGCTGTCGAGCACCATGCACCCCTCCGTCTCGTCCGCGAGACCGGCCAGCGCGTGCTCCACCTCGAACTCCGTGTAGGCCATCTCCAGGTCGTTCTCCTCGAGCTCGTCGTCGTTGGCCTCCCAGTTCGCGAAGCTGAACGCCAGCGCTCCAACCTGAGATGCTCGTCCGCGTGGCTGCTCCTTGTTTCGATTCTCCGGGTTCTTCGGGCAGTCGGCCTTCCTGCGCGGTCTGCTACAGATGAAGCACGGCCCTCCTTGGCCCTTGCCGCCTGTCTTGCCCTTGCCCTTGCCCTTCTGAAAGAACCCTCGGCTTTGCTTGATATCTTTCACCACGGCCCGCGCTTGTGCCAGCGTCCTCTTCTGGTTCTTGACGTCCTTCTTGGCTCCGGCGATGACCGCCAGTGCCTCCTCTGCCTCCGCGCGTTCCTCCTCGTCCAGACCTTCGAGGTCGAATTCGCCCTCGTCCCAGTCGATCTCCGCGTAGGCTTCGTATGTCGTCTTCCGGGTCGTAGTCGTCTGGAGCCTCCACCTGGTCATCTTCATCTTCTCCAAACACTCCTAGTGCTCGTCCACGGCCAGGTTTGCGCGGGAATATGTCTCTCTTCTTGTTGTGCGCGTCGTGCTCCTTCAGGTCCACGTCTGCCCACTGGCCCCGCAGCGCTGCCTCGATGTTCTTCAGATTCAGCGAGTTCTTGGCTGACGACAGGACTCCCGCGCGCTCTTGAGCATTCAGTCCGGCTCGTTGTAGTAGCAGCCAGCCCGCCATCACCGACGGGATCAGCGTCTCGCGCGCCTCTGTCGCCACCTCCTTCAGCGCCTTGATGTCGGCGTCGTCATCCTCCAGGTCGAAACGTGCCATCAGTGAGCACAGCGCATCCGTAGCCTTTTCCTTCAGCGTCATCTTCTTGTGTGCCTTCAGCGATGTCGTCGCCTGTGGCCAGGTCCAGCCAGCTGACCCCGTCGGTGAACTCGACCACCAGCTGCTGCCATACCACCAGCTACCCTTCCAGTAGCCGTCGTTCTCGTCCTTCCAGCTGCCGTCGTCCTCTGCGCCTTCATTTTCGCCTTCGGGGCCTTCTCGTTCGCGAGTGGACTCCAGCGTCACGGACTCTGTCTTCTCCTCGGGCCGCATCTTCTTGGCTAACTTGATCTCTGTCGTAGTGTCCTTCTCGTCAATTCGCCTGAAGCTCTGGTCCAACTTATCTGCCACGATCCTGCTCCTCTGAGCGTAGGCCTTCATGCCCTCGTTGTTCCTCCGTCGCAGCGTGAACAAATATTCCTTCAAGTACTTCGCGGCCTCCGGTATGGGTTCGTCCATGAGCGTCTCGTCCAGGAACTCTAAAAGGATCTTGTGGCCTCCAGTCTTTTCCAGCAGCTCTCGTCCTTCATCTGAAACCTCTTCGAGCGCCTTCCATGCTTCTCCTGTGAGAGCTGCCGCCAGTTTCGCTCCTGCCACTTGTTTGTCTCGATGTGAAAGACCAGCCACATACCATTTCACACGCTCTCGATACTCCTGGGATCTGGTGACGTCTCCATCCCACGTAGGTACCTTCTTGCCGTCGTCTCGAGATTTTCCCATCTTTGCCGGCTGTCCAGGTATTGGAGCCAACCGGCTCCGCTACCAATGCAGGTTCACCGATAGGTGTCTCTGAATAACTGTTGATGCAATGTCGTCAACTCTCTCTAGGTCCGTGGATCTCAAGCTCTCTTTTACCTCAGCACGCGCGAAGCCAAAAATGTATATCTCTCCTCGCCGCAAGCGTTGGTCTGCACGCAGTCCGGGTATTTTCCAGATAGCCAGCCCTCGAATCTATCCCAGGGAAATCTCTTTGTCTGAATATTATGATATTCGATCTCGGTAGTCTGGCTGGCTCTCTGGAACCAGCAAGTAATGTGTCTGACCGCCCAAAAGGCGGCTCAAGGGGCCCCTAAGCCACCATGATTACGGATAGCTGCAAATTACACTCGTCTCGCACTTACGGAAACGAAACGGACACGATTGAGTTCGCACCTCCCCCCTTTAGCCAGGGCCCCCTTCGTTTAGAAACCCTTACAGAAGGGAGGGGGGGGGAGTTTCGGAAGCTCCCCCCCCCTTTTGAAAGGGAGGGGGGAGGGAGGTAGCTTGAAGCTGGGGCCCCCCTGTGTCCAAACCAAAAAAGAAGGGAGGAAAAGGGTAACTTCCGACACCCCCCCCCTTTGAAAGGGATGCCCGGGCTCGCCTTCTGCTCCGGAAAATGAGGGGGGGGTAGCTTCGACGCCCCCCTCCAAAAGCCTGGGCCCCCCTCGCTTAGAAACCCTTGCAGGAGGGAGGGGGGAGGAGGGGTTCGGAAGCCCCTCCCCCCCTTTTGGAAGAGAGGGGGGGGGGCTTGAAACTGGGGCCCCCCCGTTTCGTATTCCCGGCACTGCGGGCGCGCTCTTTCAGATGTATCTAGCAATCCACTTGCAAGCGTGGTCACACAATTCTCCGTCACGCAGGATCACCAGAAGAGCATGATTCATTGGGAGCAAGAAGCCACCGTCATGATCCTGCCCACCGAACAATGACAAGAACTTAGTCGGTGGGCCACGCTGCTGGCGCTAAAACTGGAGAAGCACACGTCGTGAATATATGTGCATGGGAGCATGGTGAAATACTCGTACAAACGCGACGAGATGAAGGGGGCGATGGCGAGCAGCGCCCTCGGAAAATATTATGTCGAATTATATCGCAATGCTCTTACACGCGTGCACAAAACTCTTCCGTCGCGCAAGATAGTCCACAAATCATGGATAACCGGGAGAAGAACTGAGATGATCACGCCCACTGGCGGAAAAAATATAATAATGGCGCTGAAGGTGTCGTCGAACAAATAATGTTAATCCACACCATTAAAAATTCACTTTAGTCTCCAGGCCAACATGGCTATTTTTCTGTTGTCGGAAACGCTGGGCAAACGTGCGTTAATTTCAAAATCCAATAAGCGGCAAGTAAGGGTTCACTTTAGCTTCCAGGCCAACGGGGTGATTTTTCGACCGCGGCGAATTACGTGTCAACAGTGGACAAATCGCCTTGTTGGCCTCGGAATTAAGATACACTCCTACTGGTGACCAACCAGATTTCGGGTGACCCGCCCACGCGTGTTCCATGGTTTTTCCAAATCACCCAAGGCGTCCACAAAGTTTCATAGGTTGCCCCCGGTTGTCCATCGCTGTTCCTCAGTTTCAAAAAAAAAAAAAACGTCCTAAACCCACCCTGTCCTCGACCCAGAGACGACAGACAGACGACGGCGGTGGGAATCACAGGTGATACCTCGAGCCTCACAAACCTATCCAGTGCCAGGGCACCAACGTTCCAGCCTCTCCACTGCAGTAGAATGTATCGCGCTGACTCTGATTCAAATATATATAGGAAACTGCGACCTGTATATCAACTAGTAAGACTGACGGCGGGAAAGAAACAGCAAGGCAAACATGCAGACTCTGGCATGATGCTCAGAAGTCCCTCTCCCCCCCCGCCATCACCGCATGAGCACGCCTCCTAGCAGCCCCTGCCTGGGGCTCAGGCGTCTTGCGGCAATGCTTCCGCTCGGCAAAAGCTGGCCCTCGTGCGCCCCTCGGGCCGGCCGAGAAGGGGGGATAGAAAAGGGGGGGCTTGAGAATCAGCTCACGTAGCTGATCTTCCCGGCGCCTCCCGGCGCCGGAGGCGCCCATGTATCGAAGAATGGGCCCCATCGGTGGCGCCGAAACCGGCTGCGTGCAGCAGATTTCGTAACCCCCCCTTCCCTCTCCCCCCCTCTCGTCCGACCCGAGCCCCCATGGGGTGGCAACGGCCCCGTGGGAGGGCCTCGCCACGGCGACGTGTGCCCCCAACGAGGCGGCGCATGGGCCGCGATGTCAGCGCCAGGAGCCAGCCCCTGGGCGTG